GTACCTCAGGGCTCGATTCTCGGCCCATTCCTGTTTCTGGTGTATATTAATGACTTACCTCACCTTGTAGGGGATAGTCATGATATAGTATTATTTGCTGATGATACTTCCTTGATTTTTAAACTTAAACGTCAATCATTTAAATGTGACGAAGTGAATAATGCTATATCAAAATTAGTGCATTGGTTTAACGTTAATAATCTGCATTTGAACGGAAATAAAACTAATTGTGTTAAATTTACAACAACGAATGTTCAAAATCTGAATACCAATGTGTTTTTAAATGGGGAGGAATTGAGCCCTGTTGTATCCACTGTTTTTCTTGGCATCACTCTTGACGCAAAGCTCCAGTGGGGCCCCCATATATCCAAATTAGCTAGCAGACTAAGTTCTACAGCCTATGCTGTAAAAAAGATTAGAGGTCTCACTAGTGTAGAGACAGCTAGATTAGTTTATTTTAGTTATTTTCATAGCATAATGTCTTATGGGATTTTGCTATGGGGAAATGCGGCTGATTCAGAAACTATTTTTGTTTTACAGAAGAGGGCCATTAGAGCTATTTACAATCTAAAACCGAGAGAGTCTCTTAGAGATAAATTTAAAGAAATTAATATATTAACTTTGGCCTCTCAGTATATTTACGAAAATTTAATGTATGTTCACAAAAACAAAGATAGTTTTAGTAAAAGAAGTGATATACATTCTGTAAACACTAGGAACAAACACAAGCTAGTGATACCAGTTTCTCGACTCCACAGAGTCAGTAATTCATTCTTGGGGCAATGTATACGCTATTACAACAAGGTCCCGGAAAGTGTACAGTACAGTGTACTCTCTATTACCAAGTTTAAATGTTTTATTAAGCTGAAACTGTATAAAAAGGGTTATTATAGTATAAATGAATACATGGTTGATAATAACCCCTGGGAATGAGGTGATCGCTTCCAAGCAGTTTCTAAAATAAATTTTGTAAATAGTTCGTAATCATTTATATTGTAAAATTTATTTTAAAAAAAAAGTCCCGCTGGGTTTCTTGCTGGTTCTTCCCAGGACAGAGGGTTTTTTTCGAACCAGTGGTAAAATAGAAATTGACTTTCAATAAGAATTACACATGTAATGTATATTGAATAAAAAATATTCTATTCTATTCTATTCTATCCTCAGCGGTTTTTATCCTCGTCGTCATAAGACCATCGCGGTCTTTTTCGACATAGCCAAAGCATTTGATAGAGTCTGGCATGAAGGCCTTATCTACAAATTATATAAAATAGGTCTCCCCGATCGTCTAGTACGTCTCGTTGCCTCTTATCTAAAGCATCGTACCTTTCGTTTTAGACACGAAGGCACGCTATCTTCCCAACGCCCCATCAAAGTTGGTGTCCCTCAGGGCTCAGTACTTGCTCCTCTCCTGTACATTTTGTTCACCAACGACATTCCCATCCCGTCGAAAGGTGTTCAGCTCTCCCTCTTCGCAGATGACACTGCCCTATACTGTAAAGGTATCTCGCTACCTTTCATACGGAACTAGATCCAAAAGTCAGTTGATGACCTAGGAGCTTGGTTCAAAAAATGGCGCATCGATGTGAACCCGGAGAAGAGCTCCGCCGTCCACTTCGATTATAAACGACGCCGACTCAAAAACACTCCACCAATACGTATGCTAGGGACCCCTGTCCCCTGGCATACGACTGCCAAATATTTAAACGTCACCCTTGACACGAGGCTCACTTTCAGGCCCCACGTCAAAAGAGTAACCCGTCACGCACGTTTTTACCTGAGTAGGCTCAACAGTATGTTGGGTCGACACAGTAAAATGTCCCTCAGAAACAAGCGTACCCTATATAAGGTCTGTATGTATACGACCAGTCATGTCCTACGCGGGCCCCATTTTTGCCCACGCTGACCCTAAAATTATTAATGAACTCCAAGTACTTCAAAACCTCTTCTGTCATCGAGCTACGAACGCACCTTGGTACGTCCGTAATGCCGACCTTCATCGGGACTTAGAGCTCCCTACAATCCAACAATTCCTTAAAAAGCTCTCTGTGAACTTCTTCAAAGCCTCAGAGTCGCATTCCAATCATTTGCCGACAAACTGGCATACAGTTTAGCAAAGTTTGAAATGTAAATAATGTAACACTCTTTCTATGAATAAATAAAAAAAAATTATTCGTGAGGCAGCTACTACTCGAACCAGTGGTAAAGTAAAAAATGACTTTCAATAAGAATTACACATGTAATGTATATTGAATAAAAAATATTCTATTCTATTCTATTCTATTCTAGTCCCTCAGAGAAAAATTTAAAGAAATAAACATATTAACTTTGGCATCGCAATATATTTATGAAAATGTAATGTATGTACATAAAAACATAAATAGCTTTAATAAGAATTAGGATGTTCATACCTTAAACACTAGGAACAAACATAAGCTTGTAATGCCAGTTACTAGACTCCACAGAATTAGTAATTCATTTATGGGGCAATGTATACGCTTTTACAACAAAATCCCAGAACATGTTCAAAGTTTGTCAATAAACAAGTTTAAAAATTTTATTAAAGAAAAACTTTACAAAAAGGGTTATTATAATATCAAGGAATACATGAATGAAAATAACCCCTGGGAATAAGGTGATCGCCACCATGCTGGTTCTATGAAAATTCTTTAAAATTGTATAAACAAATGTCATGATTTCTAAATTTATCATATCATTTTAAATATTCTTTTATAAATTAATGTATAATTTACTTAGTTCAAGTAGTTTCATTTTTGTAAGTTGGTAGCTGACTCCGGAAACGTGTTGAGATTGGCTAAAAATGGAAACACGAGCGAGAAGGGATAGCGGGTGGGGAAGTTCTGAGAGCAATGGCGAGAGACGACAGACTTGTGGTTGTTACAAGACAATGCTATTGATATTATGCTGGTAAAGATTGTTATTAAGAGTAAAAGTATTATTATAAGTGTTTATTGTTTAATAGTAATAATATAACCAACTAAGAACTAGGAGATTGTTTTATTTATTACAATTCAGAAGTGGGATTACCAAAAGGGTATGTATACCAATGTATACTCGTCGATACAATTTAGAAAAATTGCTAAAAGAATTATTTAAACAGTTAAATACTTCGTTGTCGTTTACCACCGCACGTAAATTGAATCCTAATCTTGTTGCCTTTTTGCACAGCTCTATTTTGTGGGACTGTAAGTATGTAGAAGTATTGTAAGAATCATTCATTATTAATTTATTTTTTTCTTTAAAAATTACGTATATTATGAATATGATAATGATCAGTTATTAATGATAAAAGTTTATTTTCATGAAATAAGGTGGTCAATAAAGTACCTACATAACTAAAGACACTTTTTGCCATATAAAAGAAAACGCTCATTTGAATTTAAAATAACTAAAATAGTACACATTATGTAAATTTCTTTATTAACATATTAAACCTTTGTTAAAATAAAGTTCAACTAATTCATCCTAAGTTTCGAAGTGTGAACTTATACATTATCATTTATCACCATTGAAGTACCTTTAGTCATAGAATAAATGCTTTAATGTAACTACATATGATACGCAGTACATTATCAATGGTTGTCAAATTCTCTACCAGTCAACAAAAAAAAATTAATTATGCTAACATAATGTGCATATAAGTTTAACGGTGGTAGAGCCACGCAGCAGTTTTTGCTGTTGCACGTATGGGCCGGCTCGAGCCGGGTTGGTACCACGACCTCACAGAATACCGGCGTGAAGGAGAAGGTCTGCTTCTGCGTTTCGTCTGGTGAGTGCAGGTGGCCGGAGGCCCAATTCCCCCCCCCCCCCCCCCCTCCTTATCAACATGGTAGCGGAATTACACAATAGACTACCCCAGGAGGGTACCAGTACCCCTGGAGAATCCCTCGCTGAGCATCCATGACCATATTATTCCAATCCTGAGCGTATTCTGGGGGGGGGGGGGGGGCAAAATTCCGCTCAAAAACATAACTGCTCGGGGCAAACTGATCAAGAACACCAAGGCGACCCCTGCCACGCTATCCGTGAATTTCTGCAACATCAGGGGACTTCACTCTAACCTAAGCGCCGTCCACTACCATCTCGAGACGGCGAAGCCGGCCTTGCTCTTTCTGACCGAGACGCAGGTTTCCTCTCCGGATGATATTTCGTATCTCTCCTACCCGGGGTACAAATTGGAGCACTCCTTTGTGCCCCGGGCTGGAGTTTGCGTGTATGTCAGAGAGGACATCTGTTCTCGACGCCTCGGCAGTCTTGAAGGTTCGGACCTGTCCATCCTTTGGTTACGCGTAGACAGCGACGACCATCCGCGCGTCTACGGGTGCCTCTATAGGTCCCATAGCGGTAATGCCGAAACAGACCGACTCATCGACCAGGTCCAAATGGCTACAGATTCCATGTTACAACAGATCCCATCCGCAGAGATCGTGATCCTTGGCGATTTTAACGCCCACCACGCCGAATGGCTCGGTCCACGTTTAACCGATCATGCGGGGAGATCTGTTTATGACTTTGCCTTGGCATATGGTCTTACACAACTGGTTACTTCGCCTACGCGGATTCCAGATGTGGAGGATCATACACCTTCGCTGTTGGACCTTCTGCTGACCTCTCATCCGGACGGATATCAGGTTTCCGTCGATGCCCCTCTCGGCTCTTCGGACCATTGTCTGATCCGGAGTGTGGTGCCACTCACGCTCCCCTCGCGGTTTGCCGCCGTGTTTGGCATTACAGGTCGGCGGATTGGGACGGAATGCGGTCTTTCTTTGCTTCCTACCCATTTGCTTCTCGCGGGATGATCCCAGCGCTGTTGCTGACTATGATATATGTGAATATATGTGAATGACCTTCCCAATATATGTAATATCCCCTGTGTTCTTTTTGCTGATTGTCGGCGCACGTCATCGCGCCTTGGCCAAAAGTGGAGGACGCGGGGGGAGCGGACCGATTGTTGACCCTGCGACTGCGCAGGCGCTTCTGTCGGACACTCAGCTGCGAGACGCGGTAGCAGACGGGTACTTCACTATTCAATTTGCGTTGTATTTGTTCAGAGTATTTTACCGCATTAAATCTATAGTTAAATACAGTCCACTTATTTTATTTACAAAGTCCTGATAAGGCCTAAACATATGGTCCTTCGATCGCAAAACATTTACCAGTTTTTTGCCGTAATTAACGTCGACATCGTCAACGGTCACCGTGCGAACTTTGAACCCACGGCCACGTATATTGAAGAAGGCAGTCGTTCCCGTAGCAGCCTGCGTCATCATTGAAGACGCTGATGTCATCCTGGGAGTATAAAATCTGTATTTGAGTGAGTTCGTTCCAATTAGTTATTTTTCCTCTATTTTTTCATGCCGAGAAAATCATTTCTACATATTTCATTGGCTAAATTATATTAAGTAATATTTCATTAACCTTTAATAAGTAGGTACCTAAACAACTTCAGTGCTTTAAAAATTGCTTTGTCATTGCAACGTTCGCTTGTTTAAATTTAAATGCTTATTCCGTTACAAATATCAAGCGCTCAAGTGTCCATTCGTTGACCTTGCGCTGATTCATATTTTACCTGCGCGCAACAGTCAGTTTTGTTCTCGCACAGCAGTTATCTTTTTTATCCTAAAGTAATCAACGTTTTCTTTTACTTTGCTGTATTTATATAAAAATAAAATGGCAGATAGTTTAAAAACTTTATTGAAGAAGCGTAGTTCGATAAAATCAAAGCTTACAATTTACAACAATTATTTAAATTTAATTAAAAGTAGTTCTGATATTTCTGAGCTGCAACGTCTAGACTTAGCGGAGCGTTTTAATAAATTCGAAACCTTATATTCAGAATTTGATGAATTACAGACAAACATAGAAGTGCTTGCCGATGATGCGGGGTCTACGTTGGTTGAGCGTGAGGACTTTGACCGTCAGTTCTTCAATCTGGTGGCCATCACGCGCAGCTTGCTCGGTGCTTCGTCCAACGGTGCTGGGTCAGAGGCGGGCTTCAGAGATGCTGACTCAGGTGCACACTGTTTAAATAAGAATAGTTTTGTTCGTTTGCCTAAAATAGATTTACCTCATTTCGATGGGAACTACCAGTGCTGGCTCGAATTTCGAGATACATTTACGTCATTAATACACGATAACTCTAGTCAATAATCAATGAAATAAACAAGTTCCACTATTTGCGCGCTTCATTGCAGGGAAACGCAGCCTTAGTTATTAAAAATATTGATTTTAAGGCGATCATTATAAAATTGCATGGGACATGTTGTGTGAGCGGTATAACAACAACCGTCTCCTGGTCAATAATCATATGCAAGCTTTGTTTGATATCGATCCTATAGTCAAGGAGTCAAGTGTCTCAATCAGAAACCTGGTAGATACACTTAATAAAAATGTAAGGGCACTAACAAAACTAAATCAGCCTACTCAATATTGGGACACATTATTAATATATGTCATGACTAAAAAATTAGATTTGACAACAAGTCGTGACTGGGAAGAGCATAGGAACAATATTTTAAAAGATGATCCTACTTTAACGCAATTTTGTTCCTTTTTAAACAGGAAAGCGGATTGGTTAGAGTCCGTCGAGTCAAATATCAATTCTTCTCAGACGAATACTACTGTAGCTTTAAACAATAGTCATACGTATAAACATTCCAATTATAAAGTAACTCAAGTTAATAAAAAATCACATAATAATTTTAATAAAATAAATAAATGTCCACTTTGTTCCCAGGCTCATACATTATATAAATGCGAATCCTTTAGAAACTTAACTATAGAGGATCGCATAAAAAAGGCAAATGATTACAATGTTTGTCTTAACTGCTTGCGCGTCGGACATTCTGCAAAGCAGTGTAAACTAACACATTGCAAATATTGCAAAACAAAGCACAATACGCTTTTGCATTTAGAATTTAGTGAACCCAAACCATTTTCGAATCCATTGCCTTCTGCTTTGCCTTCTGCGTCAAACATCGCACTATCAGCCAATTCCTTGCAGCTTGCTACTCCTGCGCATGTTTTACTGTCCACAGCTATGGTGAACGTGATTAGCGGGACGCGTAAGAAGTACACTGCGCGGCTACTGCTGGACAACGGTAGTACCGCCAACTTTGTTACGCAGAGACTATCAGAGAAACTGGGTTTGTCACATCGCGATACGAGCACCAAGGTAACGGGTATTAATAATCACATATCCACCAGTACACAGTCTTGTCACCTCACAATTGAGTCTTTATGTTGTATATTTACTGTTGATATCGAGTGTCATATTTTACCCGAAATAACAAAGGTTCTACCGTCTTCATTCGTGCATATAAATCACGTCCCTATTACTTCAGGTCTAACACTAGCACACCCGAACTTTAATGTTCCGTCGGTCGTAGACATCCTGGTAGGGGCTGAGGTGTTTTGGAATGTCTTAGGCAGCAAAACTATAGATTTAGGGAAACATTTACCTAAATTGTGCGAAACTAAATTCGGTTGGCTTGTCTCCGGTAGTATTTCACATCAATCTAGTTTTGTTTCATCACACCTTTGTCAGCATTCCAACGTCACTCCCGACCTAACTCAATTTTGGGAGCTTGACAACGTGTCGTCAAAACATTCACTTTCTCTTGAAGAAAGGGTCTGTGAACAACTTTTTGCCCAAACCACCATTCGTAAAAATGATGGTAGGTTTGTCGTGACGATGCCATTAAAAGAGGACTCTAGAACTTTAGGGCATTCGTATGAAAACGCAAAAAATCGTTTTCTATCCCTGGAACGGCGATTTAAACGCGATCCTTCATTTAAAACTAAATATTGTGAATTTATGAGAGAATATGAGCATTTAGGTGATATGACTTTAGACTCTGACTGTACTTCTACGCCTAAAAACTCCGTGATCACATATTTCATTCCACATCATGGAGTCATTCGTAGCTCTAGTACCACTACTCAACTACGCGTAGTATTCGACGCATCAGCCTCTACCAGTTCGGGCGTGTCTCTTAATGACATTCAGATGGTCGGTCCCGTAGTGCAAGACGATCTCTTTTCCATTTTAATACGTTTTCGTCAACATAGATACGTGGTCTCAGGTGATGTAATAATAATTTAATAATTTATTTATTGGTAAAAGTACATGTTTTACAGAGTGTGTGGGCCTTCGTTCTTTTGCATTCCAGAAATGACATGTTATAAATGTGTAGTACTCTATTTATTTTGTTATATAAAATTATTGATTTTGAGCAGTATTGATTTTGTGCAAAAACGGTTTTTGATATTTTATTACGAATAACACAGTATGGATTTCGTTTAGCATTGATTTTATCATCAGGAGTATTGGTTTTATGAGTTTTTAGAACACACAGTAAGATATAAAGCTGTCTAACGGTAAGAACATTACAATCATCATATACTTTCACGGTGCTGTATGTAATTTTTTTCATTAGTATAACTTTCAAGATCGATCTTTGAGCACGTTCAAGTTGAATTAATTTCGTTTTGTGCGTTCCACCCCAAATAGGCAAACAGTAACTGATGATCGACTGCACTAAAGTTTTATATATATGAATCAGAAGTTGTCTGTCCGCAACACATCTAAGATATTTAAATAACCATATCAATTTTCTTAGTCTTGATGTACAATTTTCAATTTGTCTTTGCCAATTTAATTGCTGATCTATATATATACCAAGATATTTAACGGAAGAGACCTTTTCTAAAGCGCTACACTCGCAGATGAGAGAGTTTTTGCTACAAGTGTGGGCCGTTAGTTGTAGATTAGAAGGAGGTTGTAGAGAGTTAAGAATTGAGAATGTAATGTAGCAAGTTTTATTAATATTTAAAGATAATAGATTGTTTTTTAACCATTTAGTTACTATTTGAAGGCCCCTCTCTGCTATGTTATATACATCCTGCCAGCTTTCTCCATGGAAGAGAAGGGCCGTATCATCAGCGTAGGAAATGATTGTGCCCTTTTCAAGTTTTATAAGACTAAGGTCATTAATATAGATAAGAAACAAGGTAGGGCCAAGTACGCTACCCTGTGGGACGCCATATAGAAATGTAGGCTCAACTGAACTGTAAACGAGATCATAAAGTTTTACCTGTTGGGCTCTCTTATTAAGGTAGTCAATGAGAAGGGTGTGAAATGGACCACGTATTCCAAGTCGAAACAGTTTCTCTATAAGAATGGGGATAGAGACAGTGTCAAAGTATGTAGAGAAGATGTATAGAGCCATTGAGCTAAATCCAGTCCAACGTCCTCTACAAAAAATTATTTTTCGATTTGATCCTTCAGAACCTCTTAGAACCTATACATTAAATACGGTCACCTATGGTACCGCTTCTGCTCCTTATTTAGCCACGAAGTGCCTGGTAAGTCTGGCTGATAACATTGAGGATAGTCAGGTCCAGCGGGCCATACGACGTGACTTCTACGTTGATGACTATTTGAGTGGAGGAAACACCATAGCTGAGACTGTAACAATTGCAAAACGCGTACAATCGGTTCTATCTTCCGCTAAATTTAACTTACGCAAATGGCGATCAAACCATCCTCAAATTCTAAATCAAATTACAAACAGTAACGAATCGTATGATACTCATACGTTGCATTTTTATAAGCAGGGTTTAAATTCACATCAATCTAAAACTTTGGGTCTTAATTGGGATTGCGATTCTGATTCACTTACTTATTCTATTAACATAAAGTCGACCACTAAAGTAACTAAACGTCACATCCTCTCAGTTATCAGTCAGATCTTTGACCCATTAGGTCTCGTAGGTCCATGCGTTGTCGAAGCGAAAATAGTCATGCAGCGTTTATGGCTACACAACTATGACTGGGACGACGAAGTATCCCTCGAGGTCAGAAACCTTTGGTCGACATTCGAAAATACAATAACATCTTTAAATAATTTAAAGATTCCTCGTTGGGTTTTGCATGAAAACTCTAGTACGCATGAAGTACACGTCTTCACCGATGCGTCCGAAAAAGCTTATGGCGCATGTGTGTACATTCGGTCATGCAGTAACAGTAATACTATTGGCGTACAACTTCTAGTTTCTAAAAATCGTGTAGCGCCCATCAAGCCGACAACAATACCAAGGCTTGAACTATGTGGAGCATTGTTAGGTGCCAGACTGTGTACCAAGGTTCAGGAAGCGCTTTCTTTACCCATTCACCGATGTAGATTCTGGTGCGACTCAACCATAGTCTTGGGTTGGCTCTCTACTCCAGCTAATCAATTAAAATCTTTTGTGAGAAATAGAGTCAACGAGATACAGGAGAGCACTTATGGTCATACCTGGAGCTACGTACCGTCGAGGGACAACCCGGCGGATCTTGTTTCCCGTGGTCTTAAAGCTAACGTTATCAAGGACACACCACTGTGGTGGTCCGGACCCTCTTTTCTGTTGCGTAATGAAAATGAGTGGCCTAAAATGCCAAATACAGAGAAACACGATTTGCCGGAGGTAGTGACTCATTTCACATGTAGTGATAGCGACCATCATGTACTTAGTAATCATTCACATTCAACCATATATTCATCTATCATTCATCGCTTATTAGAAAAATATTCTAGTTTTCCAAAAATTCAAAGGTTGTTTGCATATGTACAAAGATTTATACATAATCTAAAAAATAAAAATAAATTGTGTGGCGATCTTTCCGTAACAGAACTTCAAGATTCGTACAATGTAATAATACATTATTCACAGTTAGAAATGTTTTCTGAAGAATTTCATCTTTTAAAATCTAAACAAAAATTGCCACGCAATAGTAGATTGATTTCTTTGACTCCGTTCATTGACGATCATAACCTCATCCGCGTGGGCGGGAGGCTTGATAACTCCCCCTACGATTTTAGTGTAAAGCATCCCATAATAATATGCAGTAAGCACATACTTACTAAGCTTATATTTCAAATGAAACATTTAGAGCTACTACATGCCGGTCCTCAATTACTATTGTCACATTTATATGTGACAGACTTATTGGCCCATGGGTGGTAGAAACCTTTCTAGAAATATCGTGAATAAATGCCTTAAGTGTTTCAGACATAAAGCTCAAAGCGTTCAGCCTATAATGGGTCAACTACCTCAATCAAGAACTCATCTCGAATTTCCATTTTTAAATTGTTATGTTGACTACGCTGGGCCAGTATTGGTGGCCGATCGCAGAGGTCGCGGCTGCAAACTTACAAAATCTTATATGTGCATTTTTGTTTGCTCTGCACTGAAAGCCGTACATTTGGAGCTCGTCACTGACCTCACCTCTGAGGCTTACATGGCCGCTTTAAATCGTTTCGTGGCGCGTCGAGGCAAGCCTCAAAGCATTACGTCCGATAACGGGATAAATTTCGTAGGCGCATCAAATGAAATGCATAGGTTCTTGCATTCATCGAGTGTTGCATCTGAAATTGCACAACAGGGTATCGAATTTATTTTCACGCCTGCTTACAGCCCACATTTTAATTCACTAGCTGAGGCTGCTGTTAAATCTTGCAAACATCATTTAAAAGACTTTTAAAGCTTACCCATTTTACCTTTGAGGAGATGGTTACTTGTCTTACGCACATAGAGGCGGTCTTGAATTCGCGTCCTCTTACTCCTCTCTCTTCAGACCCTAACGATTTTTCGGCACTTACTCCCTCTCATTTCCTGATTGGACGACCACTCTTATCTGTACCACATTCCCAGGTGACTGATGCCAACATCACGCGACTGGATCGCTGGAGGAGAATACAGTACATCAGACAGCATTTCTGGAGCCGATTTCATAATACATACATCTCTCTGCTGCAGGCCAAATCCAAGTGGTTTCATTCCAGAGGTGAAGTGAAGCAGGGGTCTTTAGTTCTTATCAAGGACAAGACAACACCACCGCTGCTCTGGTCCCTGGGCCGGGTCATGACGACCTATCCCGGCGTAGACGGAATCACGCGAGTGGCTGAGTTGAAGACGAAGCGAGGCATCATTCGTCGTGCTGTCAACTGCATCTGTCCTCTGCCAATTGAAGATTGAAGACGTCTCTTCAACCCGGGGAATATGTCGGCGCACGTCATCGCGCCTTGGCCAAAAGTGGAGGACGCGGGGGGCGCGGACCGGTCGATGACCCTGCGACTGCGCAGGCGCTTCTGTCGGACACTCAGCTGCGAGACGCGGTAGCAGACGGGCACTTCACTATTCAATTTGCGTTGTATTTGTTCAGAGTATTTTACGGCATTAAATCTATAGTTAAATACAGTCCACTTATTTTATTTACAAAGTCCTGATAAGGCCTAAACACTGATGATATTTCATTAATTCTCCCCTGTCCCAATAGCACAGATTTACACCATCTCCTAACCTCTAATTTAAATGTAATAAATTGCTGGCTCCAAGATCACAACCTCGAGATTAATTTCAAGAAGACTAAACTTTTACAATTTAGACCATACCAAAAACGCCCCTTACATATCAACTACCAATACCTAAATATTCCCTTAGAATCTGTTAACTCTCACTGTCTCCTGGGTATAAATATAGATGCACATTTAAATTGGAAGGAACACATTAATAAAATTGTCAAAAAATTATCTAGTTTTACGTACGCTCTTATAGAACTTAAAAAAACCACCGACTTAAAAACAGCAACCTGTGCCCTACTACGCGTACGCAGACGCCTGGATACGCTACGGTGTGGTACTTTGGGGTAACAGCACAGACGCTAACAAAGTATTTCTAATTCAGAAAAAATGTATTCGCATACTTGCAAATATTGACTCCATAACAAGTTGTAGAAATTACTTTATCAGTTATAATATCCTGACATTAACATCCCTATATATATCCGAAATATGCTCACTAGTTAGAAATAATATCGACTGGTTCCCTCAATATTTTCGCCCTAAAAATTTAAGACCAAAAATAAAGTTATCCACAGTTACATCAAAATTACAAATCGTAAACACCGGTCCCTATGCCATGTCAATAAAAATATATAACAAAATTCCAGAACAAATCAGAAGCATTAAAAGCATTAAAAAATTTAAAAAGGAAGATAATACATATTTAACGAAAAAATGTTATTACTCGTTGCAGGAGTTTTTTAGTGATTGAGTAGGAAATAGGAAATTGAAACAAATATACAATATAATATGATCTAATTTATATTTAAGTTAATTGTAAATATTCACTAAATGATAATTTTATAATACTATAATGTGAATGTAATAATAATATTAATAATTGCCTATATTTGCAGTGCCTTTGCAGGATTCTTGTTGTGAACATTTTTTTAAATATAAGACCAAATGTACAACAAGAATAGCAAATAAATTGAATTGAATTGAATTGAACTGACTCTGTCACTGATGTGGTGTTACAGGGAATGGAACTATTTATGCCATCATCTGTGGTACCCATCCGAGGCAGATCTCGGCCTTGGTTTGGTCGCTCCTGTAAGACTGCATTACGCAGTAAGCAGGAGTGTTATCAAGCCTGGGCTGCGGCTTCGGTGACTCGGGATGTAAACACCAGCACACTTAAAAGAAGTATAACTTCGCCTCCAGGTCCTTCAAAAGAGTTATTGCCAAGGCAAGGTCAGAGCACATAGGCAGAATTGGCGAGAAACTAGTTCGCCTTCCTTCGGGAACCCGTGCATTCTGGTCTCTCGCCAAGGCTGTCCAAGGGAATTTCTGTAAACCATCACTACCATCTCTGCACAGGGAGGACGACTCACTGGCCCAAGACGCAAAAGACAAAGCCGACCTTTTAGGCTCCCTCTTTGCATCCAACTCGACTCTTGATGACGGGGGGTAAACACCGCCGACCATCCCGCGGTGTGAGTGCTCCATACCGGATGTGCTGTTCTCACAGCGCTCGGTTCGCAAAGCACTTCTCTCCCTGGACATCCAGAAGTCTAGTGGGCCTGACGGAATCCCCCCAATTGTGCTGAGGACGTGTGCTCCAGAGTTGGCACCGGTCCTAACGCGTCTTTTCCGGTACTCCTACTCCCAAGGCGTAGTCCCGAACTCATTAAAGACAGCTTTTGTCCACCCGATCCCTAAAAAAGGCGACCGCTCAGACCCGTCCAACTATAGGCCTATCGCGATCACCTCCTTGTTCTCCAAAATAATGGAATCAATTATTAACTGCCAGCTCATCCGGTACCTTGAGGATCACCAGCTGATTAGTGACCGCCAATACGGTTTTCGTCGTGGTCGATCAGCTGGTGATCTTCTGGTCTACCTGACCCATAGATGGGCGGAGGCAGTAGAGTCCAAGGGGGAGGCGTTGGCCGTTAGTCTGGACATTGCGAAGGCCTTCAATCGGGTTTGGCACAAAGCGCTTCTTTCGAAGCTCCCTTCCAATGGGCTTCCCGAGAAATTGTGCAACTGGATCACCAGCTTCCTTGCAGATCGGAGCATCAAGGTCGTTGTAGACGGTGCATGTTCTGACTACAAGCCTATTAACGCTGGTGTTTATTATTTTATTTTATTTTTATTATATGTTGTTATAGCAGCAATACAATTAGCCAATACACATTCTGTGAAAATTTCAAGTATCTACATATTACGGTTCATAAAAAACAGCCTGCTGACACAGACGGAACGATAATGGAAACTTAAGTCCCGTTGACACTCTTTGGGTACGGAACCCTAATAAACGGAAATAATATTTTAATAATAAAAATAACAATTAATAAAATAACAGTTTTCAACAGTGGTAGAGCCACGCGGCAGGCCGGCTCAAACCGGGGTGGTACCACGACCTCACAGAATACCAGCGTGAAGTAGAGGTTTACCTCTGCGTTTCGCTTGGTGAGTGCAGGTGGCTGGAGGCCCTTTTTACTGGAAATGAGGCATTCCATCTTAGTCCTCACGGGTGACAACGCATCTGCATTTTGATTCGCAAACGAGGATAGGTGTAGATGTCTATGGGCCGCAGCAACCACTTACCATCAGGTGGACTGTGTGCTCGTTTGTCACCCTTATCCTATAAAAAAAAAAAAAAAAAAAACATATAAATATTGGGACATTTGAGCAATACTACAAAAATAAACATTAAATAATATAGAATTAGGTTATATTATAATAAGTTAAATATATTATATTATAAAATATAGTAACAATAAATTCACATATAAAAATCTCAGCCACGGGGAACTATATTTTTGTATACGCGGCAACACTGAATGGCGTCTTTCATATTTTGTAACTTATTTATGGCTCGTGCTCGTGTTATTTTATGTTGAAATTTCGAAATTGTCTGATACGTACTAATAGTATGTGATCCCAGTGTCTTTCTTACTTCTTGTAGTATTATTTTTACACAGTTTCACTACGCAAACTGGTATTTTACTTCGAATTATGATCAAAATTTTATAAAATATTCGGTACGTCCACATCACATATCGCCTGCAAACGCGACTGGCTCGGGTACGCCGATTTCGGCGTAGTATTTGTTGCCTCATTTTACAAGAGCGCCGGCAGTATCTAGTCAGAGCGTGCGATGACCTATTAATATATATATTAATACATATACTATATATATATATATATAATACATATATTAATCTATGAGTTTTGCATTCGACTTTTAAACACATTGCTTATAAGTATGGATCGATCATTGTTACATTGCAAATTGTGACAATTTCGTCCTTGTTAATGCTAAAGAAATAATGTTACAAACTCGACCACGTCTTTTTTTTAAATCTTGTTACATTCTTATATTTTTTTTTATTATGTAACCATGCTTTGACACAATTTCATGCAAATAACAAAAAAAAATCATAAATGTAAATTCATTGTTAAAGAAAATTATAGAAATGATAAGTATTTGATGATTTGTTCTAATTACTAAATTGAAATGTAATTGTACTGTGTGCAAAATAAAAATATATTTTTTTATGTTGTGATAAGGGTGACAAACGAGCACACAGTCCACCTGATGGTAAGTAGTTACTATGTCCCATAGACATCTACATCTATCCTCGATGACGAATCAAAATGCAGATGCGTTGTCACCCGTGAGGACTAAGATGGAATGCCTTGTTTCCAGTAAAATGGATCTCCGGTTCCCTACACTCACCATACGAAACACAGCAGCGTCAAACTGCTATTTTACACTGGTATTCTGCGAGAGCGTGGTCCTTCCCCGGTCGGGCCGAACCATTCGTGCTACAACTATACCTATAATATAACTGCAGCATGGCTCTACCACGTATAAATAGAAAATTTCGAAGATGATCCCATAATAAAAATTATTCATGTGGCAGAATCATTCCCTAAGTTATTGAGAACTATTTTGTTACATTTTTACTTAGTATATAAGGTCGGGGAAAAAATTGCTGTTGTACAAAATTTTAAGTTTTAAACGGACGGCGAACAACTCTCCCATTTCGACTAGGGTTGCCATCTCCTAAAATGAAAAAGCCGGACTCAGTGCTCCAAAAAGCCGGACTTTTGCCCTAAAAGCCGGACAGTAATTTTTAGAAAGCCAAACATACCTTTCTGAGGCCATGCAGCCAAAAAAACTCACCAACTCCAACCTCCCGAGAACAAAACTAAAATACTCCGTTACATACGTTAATTGTTTATTAATCAATCACAGCACAGTTTCAAGGGTATACGTTACTTATTTATTTATTCTGCAAGCGATGCGTGCAACGCGTTACACTAACAAAAAGCCTGACAAAATCCGGACAGGCCGGACACATAAAAATTTGGCCAGACACAACCCGAAAAAACCAAACATGTCCGGCTAAAGCCGAACAAATGTCAACCCTAATTTCGACTGATATATACGGGCGAAACCCGCTCATCCACTGGGACTTTCCGCCTGTGGCACCGCTCCCGAGCGGTTGTGTCCAGGTAGTCCGCGCTCTCGTCCCCGTACGGTAGTGCTATCTCGCTCTCGCGCCTCCGCTGTCTTGCTCGCGCTGTACAGCGTCGACGCTTTGGTGAGTCATTTTCGCTAACAGCTCTTGCCCCCCTGTCTTCGGCGGGGAGGTTTGACTGACCTCTGCTTATTATTGTTTTAATTGTTATTTAATTGTTATTTTTTATTGTTGATTTTTGTTATTTCTTTTGTTATTTCTTTTGTTATTCTTTTGTTTTTCTTGTATTGTTATACGTGTATATTGTCTCGTAGTACGTCTCGTGTTCAAGTCCCTGTTCTTCTGAGAACAGGGACCCGTCCCGTCCTTACTGTTTCGTAGAATTACTACCCCCAACATGTCCACAGTTACCCAAAGTAAGT